TAATGCTGGACTGCAATTATTATAAGCCTAATCAGCTAAATTTATTAATACAACATAAATTCATACTTGATAAGCTAGTGCACATTTTCCAATAACAAATTGAGCAGTGTTTGTACGATCTAAACAATCAACACAATTTACTCTAATTATTCCATTTTGAAGTATGATACCATTTTTATCTTGTCCAAAAGTAGGTTTATCTATAATTCGTGGACAATTAATGTACATGCCAGTTTTAAAGATTGCCATACGAGCAATATCATCTAGACGTCTCATAACATTCACATTTTTACTGAAAATACGTACAAATTAAATTTATAGATAACAAAAACAAAAAATTAAAAAATGTTTACCTTTTGTTCATTCTTGCCATATCAAAATGTATGTACTGAATGTGATGAATAGGTGGTAAAAATCTGTTTAAATATTTTACAGCTGATACTAAATGATCACTTAGCTGTGATTCATGAACCTTTTTTTCACGTTTTTTCACAAGATTAATTATAACTGTTGGTGAGCCATATCTTTTATACAAATTATTAAAATGAGCACCTTTAAAATATTAAACCAAACATCTTGATTAGCTAGAATCTATTAATAGCAATTCAATAAAGGCTAACAAATATGAAACATTTCAACACTTTTAATCATCATAATAGATCAAAATTCTAGAACTTGATGATAATCACAWAAAATATTTATTTTTTTTAAACATGATACATATTATACAAGGAAAGTTACTCACCAGGTATTTCATGGAATGGATCAATTAATTCAAATGATATTGTAGGTTTTGGTACCATTTTACTTATATCTTGGCTCCATAAACCAGGAACTGAACCTCTCATTTGAAGAAATGAACTTATATACATATTATTTTGACAACTTGCTCCATGATCTTGAACTATTTGTTCGGTTTCGACTTCATTCCCAACCTCTCCCTAAAAAAAAATATTTACATATAAACAATCAATTTACATATTATAAAAAATTGTATTTCAGAAATTTTTATKAAGTTAAAAACAACTCACTTCAAAAATCTWTTCATAGAACATTTGTTTATTAAATYTTTATAATAGACCAAAAAGAAATGTAAATATTGAATATATTCTTGAACTCTTATATGCGCTTGTACATTATATAATTATTAGTATATCAGTACATTGTTTGTTACACTAAGTTTATTTTAAGTAAACACTATGTGTACAGTTTTAATTTGAAATGAAAACTTAATATTTCTATAAATATGGGAATAAGTTTTTGAAAACTTTCTTTAACCTTGTATTACAAGTGCAATTAAATTTCCGAATTTGGTTTTTTTTTTACATACAACTCATAAATTTGTTGAACTATGACTTAATGCAACTAGAACTTCTTGTATTAGACATTTACAAATATTATTTTATACATTTGGTGTTTTTAATCATTATATTCAACACAAATAATAGGTTTAAAGTTATCTCCTTGCCTATTTGACAATTGGTATGTGAAAATATGATRTGGAATAATAATCAGTCAGCAGGAGCAACTATGTTTGTCATGATTCYACAACAGTTCATTGCGCGAAATATTCTCAACGTTTTATCGCATGCTTGTTAATTATGCAGTATTTTATTATGACTATTTCTTCATGGTTATTTTATCGTGATCATTAAGTTACTCGTTTAAGTTCACTGTGCATCATTTAATCGCGTTAATCATCGTCATTGTATGTACTATGTTGAATAGGTGTCTAATCTARGTAATATTGGTAAGTCTAAAAGAAGGTTTCAGAATCATAAAGGATATATAATTCCATATAATATTATATTATTATCTATAATAACTGATGATAGTTACAACTCAATATCATAATAGAAAATTAGTTATAGGTAGATTACAACAAATAACTTTGGTARGTAAAGATTTTGTTACAGACRTATTTTAGTGACGGTATAACAGTATACATTGTTGTGAGTAACTATTCTGTTCACCTTTGTCAACAAGCCGTTAATTTTAATTATATAAYTATTCAAATATCTTTTAAGTAAGTAGATAATTATATAATTTTTGACTAATTTAATATTATATTTAAGTTTTTTTTTACAAATAGTAATATAACTTGATTTGTTGACTCAAAAAATTTAAAATGTAATACAAGGTTTCTCATAGTTGATATAATAGTAGTTAGCAAATTTTGACATATTTATTTAATTGAAAATTTACAAAATATGAGATATGAAAAATAGGRTAAATATTCTTTTGTGTCCAAAATATGCTTTAATATGCAAAATAAATTTTTTCCTACGAAGTTGAGTTAAATTAATTTAATTATTAACGCTAGGTATGAAATTGGAGTTAGAACGTATGTGTGTATACAATAATGATCAATGAATAATGCGATAATGTGTCATGCACGATGATATGCCATGCGATGAAATGTATTCGATAAACTGTTACACGATGAAATGTTTGCGAAGGTGTTAAAAGCGATGAAGTGACRCACAATGAATAAGATCGCGATGAAATARCCACAATTAAGTGACGGTGTACCATTTGTTTTACTCGAACTTGCTTCCTGTACTTTAATTAAAATTTGTTATTGCACGCCWAATGTAAAAAAATCAACTTTAAGTTACATTAATATGCTAATGTTTCAAATAACTTTATAATTCGGTTTTACAKGTTTATTAACAATAATATGAAAAGTAAATATAATAGGTGAATTCTGTGTTCACAAAAATATGGAACATAATATAAATACAAAGATTTTTCAAAAACTTTAAATTTTGGACTCAATAACACGATTTTTGGAAAAATTCAAAATTTTGAAGTTTTTTGTTGATAACTTATAAACTAAGTTTGATCGACTTTTTTTAAAGAACCATCAAATTAAGCATGCAAACACACACATTTTGAACAAAAAAAATCTAATAAATTGCTTGGGAGCTAAACTGCATTYGTTTCTAAATATAATATAGATTATAAAAGTATAATTTTGAAATCTTGAATTTGAGTAATTACTTGGTCAAAATAACTGTGCGCATGTAATGAAATTGGATGCGTGTAATGCAGGGTTAAAAACCATAGTATTGGTAAGGTGTTTGTAAACATTGAAAATCAAACCTTAAATTCTCTTTTAATAATTGTAGGAATGACTTAGTGGTATGTAYATTTTTATAAACATTAATCATCAAATGAATAACTATTTACATTTTTATTAGCTCCTCTTTTCAAAAATCGTGTACCAGCATATCTATTTGATCTCCGAGCAATTAATGTAATATATATTGGACGTCCAAAAATTGAAACATTTGATTGACTTATAAAACCGTGCATTATATTTAAAATCCAATCTGAATGTAATTTGTCACGTACATCTTTTAATAAATAATCGTTCCAAACAAATATTTTATTTGGACAACTTCTGGTTACAAATAGACATTCTTCATTAGACAAATCTACAACAACAATAAAAATTATATTTACTTTTAAATTAAACATTTAAATAACATGTTTATGAACCAATAAAATTAAAAATATTTTTAAAATCAATTCAAGTTATAAATAGAAAATAGAAAAAATGCGGAGAATTAACTCTTCAAAATTTTTTGAGGTTCAAAAAAAAAATATATGTATATATATATATATCTTAAATACCTATTCGGCTATTCACATTAGTTTTTAAGAAACATATTATTTATAGGTAACTTTTAGTCATCTTAAATAATATATTATTTCAAAATAATTTATCTTTATTTAATTATTTAAAGAAATAAAATAATTATAACAATAGGAATTTGTGAAAAGTTACTTATTTTGAACATTAAACTAACCATTTGGAATTTGTGCAATTGACATATTGACTTGAAGTGTATGCGTAACATCATAACTGTAACTAAAAAATATARAAATAATAAATAAGTGATTGKTATTATAATTTAAAGGTGGCATAAATATAAAAGGGAAAGAAAGATACTTCCCACAAACCTCCATAAAAATGTATATTAGTGTTCCCAAAATAATTAGATTACTAAATTTAATCAATATTATGATATATATCTACTGTTCATTTTTAAAAAAATACAAAAGATGACAGGTGTCAAACTATCAATCATTGACACTGTTTTATACAGCTGATGAAAAAT